ACGAAATGAATCTTATAGAATGCTAAACGGCCAATGTCGCAAGAAGCAACCCCTTGACTAATCTTGCGGAAGTGTTACGGGAAAAACGCGTCAGGGACGCGGCACACCGGCGTGTAATTCGATTTGCGAATTGTGCGGCCGACGAAGATGGCGCGTGGATATTCTCGATGAGCCCCCGACGCCTCAACAAGTTGTATACATATAATCTGACTCAGATCCCAGGGTCTAAGTGAGGTCTAACACGAGGGAGAAAAGGGGAACCAGGAGGAAGAGGAATACTGAGCGGGAGGGGGCGAAGAAGGAGGTCCGGAGGGTTTCTCAGGAGCAGACAAACAAAATATAACAGCGCGAGTTACAAGGAAAGATCCCGGCGAGATGAAGGGTCTCTCTCTCTCTCTTTCTTCTCCTCCTCTCGTTCTTCTTGTTCTCTGTCGCTCTCCTTTGCCTCTTCCTCTCTAGAAAGTTGGAGAGGCGGGAGGGAGGATGAACCCTCTTGAAGCATGAATGGATTACGAAGAGCCGTGTTCATTCATTCGCTCCTTGGCGGCCTAGAAACCCACAAAAAGTGTATCTCTCGGTCAGGACCATCGCCATAGTCTATGGTCGCGGACTTTGGACGCCTATCCTTCCCTTCCTCTGCGGATTACGCTCGCGTGCGCTGAGCCTCTCGGATTTATTCTCGGAGAACTGATGGAAGAGAAATAAGGATTAATCATTCTTTTTGGCATATAACAAAATTTGTGGTCCGTTACCGTAACCGAGTGAGAAATGTTAATTTAAGAGAAACTAAAGATTATTATTGTAGGTGACGAACACATAGATAATTAAGAACATGATTTTGAAAAGTGACGCATTAAAATGCATTGCTATGATGATAAATCGTTGTGCTGAACCCACGTTTATTTAGACTCGTATGTACACGAGATACAAAATCAGGCCATATATTTACATACAATATTAATTTGTCGAGGAGACCATAGACACATTTATAATATGAACACGGCAAAGTAGCACCGTGAACGACAACATTGTTGACAACGAGCAGAAAGCGGAAGACGAGCACAAGCGCGAGACCTCTCGTCTGACCTTTCTCAAAGTTTCGGATCCCTCGAACGAGAGAGAGAGAGAGAGAGAGAAAAAGAGACGAGAGACTATTTAATGGAGATGGAAAAAGGGAGAACAAGACGCTGGATTCGCGGACAGTCGTAGCTTTTTGCCCGTCTGAGATGTCGCAGCCGAATGTGCGAAAGGAAGCTCTCTCCCACCATTTTGCGCCTAATTAAAAACGACAGTGACCCACTTATGCCACCTATGCCGCAGATTTTTTTTGCTTACTATTAGTCAGAGCGAGTCGACGTTTGTTGAAAGATACTCGTTGCATGTAAATAGTGACAATCGCAATGAACGATCAAATTTATCGATTTCTTAATTAGATTTTTAAAATACATGTTAGATTTGGAACTTTGAAAAACTAAAATTAAAAAATTTAATTAATTTAATTAATTCCATTCAACTCTACTTATTGCTACTTTAAATTGAAGACAAAATTCTCCAATACTGTACAAAAGAAAATTTAAAGATTGCCGAAAAAAATAGAAATCTTGCCAAAGAAGTTATAAATAGGCATTCGGTAATAAATATATTTGAGACTCAAGCCAATAACGTATCCCTAAAGGGTTAAATACGTCGATTGACCGATACCGGTTACGTTGACCCTGAAAATACCGAAGAGAAGCGTAGTGAAGGAACACTTTTGCGAATCATAGAGATCTCTCGTGATTTCTTTCCACGGTGAAAACGATGTAGATATTCCTACATACACATCCCGCGGGAGGTAATTATTATCGGCTGGAAATAGCGAAAGAGAGAGAGAGAGAGAGAGAGAGGACCCCACATGGCCCGGGATCTCTGCTGACTTATTATTTCTTAGTGATTTTCTGAATTGCACCGGGCACGAACGCGCGAGCCGATGTCTTCGTGACGTAAACGAGATAATGGGCCCAGCTCGCGTACCCACGATGTAGACATAATGACGACGGTCTTAGGATTATAGTTTGTCCAGTAACTCGCGTCCCTCTCCCCTCGGCGATCCCACCCCACGAGCGGGTTAATTGACAATAATAAGAGACAAAACGGGAGTGGAAAAAGCTCGGGGATAATAACGGTGAATTCTCGTAGAGTGATATATACGATACGTAAATCACGATGCGGATTTGCGGTGTGGATTATAGAGACGAAATGCGTAGCTAAAAGTCCGAAATGAAAATTTATACTCGCAGATATTTACTAGAGATTGCGCACTCCATACAGAATTATATTACAATTCTGATAATATTTCAAACTCTTGAATAAATTTTTTAAAGCGAGTGTATTTTTTTATCTACTAAAAAAATATAGAAACACAATAAAAGTGATAGAGGAGAAAATAAAAACAAAACAGATTTTTAAAAAATCTACAGGCAACATAAAATACATCGTGATATTATCGAGAAGAGGAGATACTCTGTTGTTTAAATTGTGTAATCCGTCAAAGAAAGTTGGAAAATAAAAAAATTTTCGAATTTTAAGAATCCTTGATGCGAGCTGGTTTAGCGTAATAATAGCGACATTATCGGATAAGCATACAGAATCCCTGGACCACTGGAGAGAATCCCTTTGTGACACGAAATCGTAACGTTGTGACGATGTCGTTAACGCGCGGGTCCCGGAGTCTCGGGCAACAAACGTCGGCGTCGCGTTTGGAACGGCGGCGACGGGGAGACACAGGAAGCTGGGAAAAAGATAAGTACCTGTCGGAGAGGAGCAGGGCTTTTCTCTTTGGTCCACCATTAGAGCAATTTGAACGTCTTCTCCGTTTTGGGGCGGCAAAAAATGCCGGTGAGTCGTTGCGCTAGACTGAAGAATGATCGGAGAGGCGCCGAACCTGATTCGTCTGCTCTTGCCATCTCTCTCTCTCTCTCTCTCTCTCTCTCTTTCTTTCCCCTCTCCTTCTCTCTTCCTCCTGCTCGTCTCATCATCCTCAGGCTCTCTCGATCCACCGTTGTCGCGTCATCCCTCTCCTACTCGCGACGACGCTGTCGTTTCTTCCTGCACCGGCATTCGAAAATAGAAACCCATCCCCCATCCCCCTCTCCCTCTCTCTCTCTCTCTCTCTCTCTCTTCGTCACTCCAACGTCTCCCCCTGGAGCTTCTTCTTTTTCTATGGTTTTTTTTTCTCGACGTTCAACTCGCTCCTCCAGGACTCGTTAGATTCACTCGGGGATTATGTTTCGTGCTATTATAGCTCTCGAGTAAAACACCCGCGCGTCCCTTCACCACCCTACGCTTCTAGTGTTCCTTCTGCGCTGTCGATGTTACTCCTCTTCTTCGGCTATCGATTTATTGATCTCTTCTCTTGAGGATCTCTTCGGCGCGAGATAAGACATCTAGCATGTCCACAGCTTTCTTTTACAAAGACGAAATATCCTCGTGAAAGCGACACATGAATATTTATTAAATGCGCACCAATTAAATTTGTCTTAATAAAATTATAGAACAGATGTATTAACGCAAAAAAATATAAAGGAGATCCACAAGAACAATTTTTTTTCCAGATGAAAATTAAAAACGATTACACATGTTGCAATACTCAATTTAAACAAACAATCACAATTAAAATATTTGATTTATTTCTAAATATATTTAAAAAATAATAGCAATATTGAATCAATGGTTTTAGAGAAAAAGATACATAAAGATACACAAAGAATATGATTTTACAGAAGAGCATTTTAAATGTTTTGATATTATTCTTCTTTTATATGTTCAACATCTTTCTTTAGAAATTTAGACGTACTCAAAAATCATTTTAAATAAATGAAAATATTTAGAAAATTTTCTACTTCTTTAAAAAAATAAAAAAATAGATATTTTAATCATTTTCAAATGTACTCGCCTGCTTAAAAAAATAATTAGCTTGTCTTTTAATACAATAGTCTGTTTTATTTATCTTATTTACTGTAAAAAACTAAATGTTAATAGTCGCTTGTGTATCTTTCTCGAATATCTAAATAAATACTTAAATAAATTGCGGTTGCAGATAATACGAGGATATATACGCGCGTTGTTCGCGTCGAAAGCGTTAATACGGTATCAAAATCCGCATACCTCGAACTACTTCGAGGTCGGGGGAAACTGAGGAGCGAGGGGGCACGAGCGCATTAATTTCGGAGATGTGCAACGGCACGGCGCAAAAAGGAAATCGCGAGACGCGCCGCAGCGCGTCGGATCCTCTACGTGGGATCAGGTATATCCTTAGTACAGGAGCTATCCGTCTCGGTCTCTCCGCTGAATGTTAGAAGATATATTATGCTCCCTCGAAGAGGGTGGTAACACTTGTTTGATTCAATTCCAGGAACACGCACGAAGCCGACCGCTCAATTTTTCTTCCGCCCGGGGAAGTTGCGATGCTAACACTTATCACGTGGCCGCGAATATGTGTATATATATATATATAAATGTGTGTGTGTGTGTGTGTGTACACATACGCAGTCGTCAGCGCTTTATGAATCCGGAGTTGTTACCGAGGCTTGATGAGCGCGCATTTGAGAATTATCCGTGAGAATTCCCGCAATATAATGATCGTTTCACTCTGAAGAATAATTTACCGTAAAAACTTAATCACGTAAAGATATGCAGGATTCGTTTTAAATTTCGTTCGCGATTACGAGATGCTGCGATGAGAGTTGAATCCAAGTTTTGAATTCTTGTTTGTGAAACAGTCTTCGAACACGATCTTGTCCGTTTGGTTTTTATCACAATTTGAAAAATTTCTTTTACACCTCATATAATTTCTTCGATATTATTATTCTCTTTGAATTTTTCTTAAATATTCTTAATTAAAATTATTTAAAATTATTTGTATAAGTTTTTTTCCGTATTTTACTTTATATTTTTGTATATTTTATACCATTATATTTTTTTACGCTATAATAAATGTTTATCTCTTTCGTTTCTCGTAGAGTTATGTAAATCGTTCACGGATAGTCCTTATATCGTATTCACAAAGCGAGAAGTACAGCCTGAGGTAAACAAGATATCGAAGCTCCGATTGAAGAAACTATCTGCTACTCTGCAGCTTTGACGCGATGCGCACAGGTGGATGCAATAGGCCATCGAACCAACGATGCAACCTGTTGCAATAAAATTCCCCGTCTACCTGGCCAAGGGAGAGAAACGGGGTTAGATAAGGTAAGTGGCGGTCTCTCACCAGGGCGTTTGCTGTAGTTCATTTCATAATCAGGATGCTAGGCGAGGACTACCTGCGAGATCCGTGCAGTAGACCAAAGCCGATGGAATGCGGAAGGAATAGAAGATTGCACTTTGAATGTGGGAAAATGTTTTTTATCAAAAATATATTTTATTAGAAGTATGACTCTTTATATCAAGTCGTCTGAGTTCATAGATTGTATTTTTACAGTGAAATTTTTCAGTCAAAAGTTATAATTTTTATTTGAATGATAAAGTGCGAAGCTAGTTTAATTTCTTCAGCCAAATTCCTTCGGACTAAACAAATGAGCACAAACGAATATCACTATAAACGAATGAGAAATGATTAATTATTTATTTTCTAAAAAAATTCTTTTAGATAATTTTTTTTATAAAATTATTGACTAACGTTTCTTTTCACTGATATATTTGATACGGATCGATATTCACTGATTCTCGTAAAAAGAGAAAGCAAAGGGAAGAAGGGAAGATTTAGGGATGACAGACAAAGACGTGCGGACATCTATAAGAAAGTGAGGTAAAAGTTGTCGCGGTTTAAGGTCCGCACGCGCGTTAGTCCCGATTATGTGTTCCGAAAAAAGGACCTTTAGGAAAGAAGAACGAGGTAGGCAGGTAGGGAGGGAGGGGGTGGAAGGATCCCAGGAAGGAAAGAAAACGGAACGTGGCGGCCGAAGGAAGGAAGGAAGCCCCGGCTTTAATTCCTGCTATTATTGAAATACGCAACCGCCACGTGCCAAGGGACGACGGGGTTCTTCTTCCTCTGCCCCCGTTCGATAACCCTCCCCCTTCCCTTCTTTAACCACGAACAACCGGAACGTCCCTTTCGGCGCATCTCACGCGAAAAAGTAAAATGCAGCCGACGGGTTGCACCGACGGGTCGGACGCGAGACCTGCCGCAACAGAAATTTGTGAGTCGATCGTATGAGGGGTAAGCTCGTATCGTGTCTTATCGCATTCTCAGAGGGGGATGCGGTGAGACGAAAAGCGAAATAAGAATCGATAAGAGAATGAAATCAGAAATTATTAATTTATAATCGAATCATTTCTTCATGGGACGGGATTTTGGTCTTTGTTTTCTCTTCTACGTTATTTGTTTCTCCCAAGCAAGAAAGACTATCTTAAATCCTTACAATAGAAAAAATAATATTTTACCAGAGTATCTTCTTTTTTCTACTTTTGGTTGTGTATTTGACGGAATAATTTCTTCGAAATTTTTTCTTTATTTTTTCTATCGATAGAAACTGATAATGACAATACATTTTATCAATGTAAACAAAATATTTTATCAACGTAAATAATGCTAGACAATAGATTAGATTTGATTTACAAAACGCGTCTTTTATTAGAGTTAGAAGACATATTTGTGTCTCGTTCCAAGTTACAAACAGTCAGGTCCGATAGGTCAGCAAACAACAAGACAAATCGTGTATCTAATAAGCGGTTTACCTAAATTTGAGAGTATCTTACATAAAGAAAAATGCTGCTCTGCCAATTAAAAGATAACATCTTTGATAGCCATAATAAAAAAAATATTATTATCATCTATATCTATCTATATACCTATATTAAATGATTTAAATATTTAAATATAATGCACATTGCGCGCGCGTAGCAATGCCGAGTTTTTTACATTAATTTTGCGACTCTCTTTTATCTTTATATAATCATATAATCATATAATATATCAAGAAAGATTTATATATTCTGTTTGCTTCTCGTTTTTTCATTTCTTCTTTTTTTTCTTCTTTTTCTGCCGCAATATTATCCAAAAATTCTTCCATAATGTTTTCGATCCGTTTTCTCTTTTTCGGCGGATCTGTAATAGATAATATAAAAACGTTACACTATGACAAATAAGAACCAAATTAAATTAATATTAATTTTCTTCATCTTGCTTGCACATTTTGCACTTATATTATAAATGTATACTGACTATTGACTATATATTATTCAGAATTGTTGTTATCCACTAATACACAAATACAAAAACTTACTTTTTGATTTAACGGAAGAAAATACTGATAACGACGATCCTTCCTGATTTGGATCCGATGGACCATCACTTGTAGCAATTGCAGGAGGCGAAATGGACGCTTTGTCGGCAAATAGTGAATCCATAACCTATTGCATAATAGGGATAATATATTAAATATACAAATATATTAGATGCGTATCTTGCAAAAAAGTTTAATAAAAGTTTATAAAATCAAAACTACACTCTTGAATCAATAAACACGCGTGTATCCTCGATGTCGCACGTCTGATTCTCCAAGGCAGTAATTAGCATAAATATATTAATGACAGTCTTTAGAGTCGCTCACTGACAGCTCGCGAAACCGCTAATGACAGCGCTCGGCGGTCGGCCAAGTGTTAAAGATGCAAATCTCCTTCGTGTGTGCGGGGCACGTTTTATATCTAAATCCTCCGCTCGCGCGCGGGGTACGAACACACATACCGCGCGTTACAACAGCGGGATGCAAACAAATTGGCGAGATCATGGCGATTGCGACGAAATTATATGTACCGATCGCCGACTTAAGTGCCCGTGTACGCACTCTCGTATACGCCGCATGCAAATGCGACAGATCGTATGCAGTAAAACCGGGGGGTGGTGGTGGTGGTGGCCCGGTGGCTCGTAATATTGCGGTTATTATCGCGACGGCGGTGTCGTCGTCGTCGTCTCTTTCCCTCCGGGCTCGAAAGCCGCGAACTCACCTTGCGCAAACACCTGCGACGTCGATCGTTTCATATGTTATACGCGTGATTTATAATCGCGTCCCCCACCCCCTTCCACCGGGAAATACTGCACCGTAATCTTCTTTCATGAACGTCACCGCGCATACATGTACGTGCGTGTAACTTTCGAAGTTAAGGGGACGTTAAAATCGTTCGCGGAAATTAACATACGAGACAGAACAAACTCGAGAAAGAGGGAAAAGACCTGTCGCATTACAGGTGATTGCTTTCAGTCACAGCGTAATTTCAATATTTTTTAATTTACGTAATTAACGACAGCGAGCTCAACTACGATTGATGACGTTTGATTATTTTGATTTGATTTTGCAATTAAAAACAGAGAGGGAAAATACAGACGAGCAATATCTAAAGCAAATAAAACGCGCTGAATTTTATTAATTATGTAATAATTGACAATCTTAATGCAAATAAGATGATAGTTCTTTAAATATATGTATATGTATCTATCAAACGCATTCTTCTCTCTCTCTTTTTCTTTCTGCGAAAGATGTAAAATACAAGAAACGGTTCTCTATCTCTTAAGAGGGGGGAGGATGTTTAATTTACCTTTCGCGGATAATCTCATACGAGATCTCGGCGGATATTTTCGCGTGGCATCCTCTTCAGGTTTTTATCCGCGTCGCTATTATTCCCGTAATTAAACATTATAAGCCAATTAATAATCGAACGCGAAACGCGCGCCAGAGCGTCTGGATGTAATTACAGAGGATGAATTATTCCACGTCGAACGAATTACTCGATGCATAATTCCCGGCGCGCTTCATAAATTCGATTAAAATCCGGCCGTAAAGCACCCAGGTACGTCCTTCGCGTGTTGGTGCTGCTGCGTCTGGTGGATGTCGCGGCGCCTTCACGAGGGGAGTGAAGGATGTTCTCTAGAATCGCTAAAGTTACAGAATAGAGTGTTTTAAGAATGACAATCTACACTCTTGACGACTTCTCGGCGACCGATGCAATCTTCGAATGCATTTCAAGTTATCTCCGCGTTTAAACTAATCTTCGCAAGTAAGTAAGCAACAGTTAGTTTATCAACACAAATGTATATAAGTAAATGGTACAAGAAGGGTATTAAAAGAATTGATATGGATCTCGTAAACTGACTCGTATCACTGTTTCAACAAGCTTTATCAGAACTTAGTGTACCTAATTAGTTTACGTCTAAAGATTATAATTTTTATATTCGTTGAGATATCCATCTCTCTTTCTCTTGTTCTTCAGTTTTTATCAAGAGTTTTTGAGGTTTAAAAGTATTTTTCCTGTGACTTTTTCTTTGGCAAATAATATAAATTAAATAACAAACTATTTTTTTTAACAATGTTACGCCATTCTACATGTTTTTAAATTTTTAAATCCGTTACATATTCGTGTATATCCTTTTCACCACGATTTTTATCAGGTTTCTGTAGTCTTTAGCGATTATATGTCGCTTTTACGGATCAATTATTGAGACCTCAATTTTTATTCGCTTTTAAAAAAAGATTAAAAATGTGAAACAATATTATTTATCGAAAAACTCCAATAAATATGAAACTGGAGCACATTCGATATCTTACTTTCATTCATCGTCAATACAGTCATCTTGCGTCACCTGAGACGGAAAGTGATGACTCGACGAATGGGAAAGGGACCGCGTTCTGTATATAAATCCAATGGCTCCGGGAGGTACAAGCTCGAGGCGCACAAGCATCTGTCTCATTACGGTGGATTCATTACGGCGGGGAGGGGGAGGCGCGGTGTTACGTCGCTCTCGTTGTCGTAACTCTTATGAATAATAACGGAGCCGACGCCGTAAACGGCACTTTATGATGTATCAGTTAATAGTCGTCTCTCTCTCTCTCTCTAGAAGGCGTTTGCGCTCTCGCAAGCGGCGACCGCCGGCGCCCGCATATTTTATTCATGAACCGCGCGCGCGCGAAACACACCGCGATTAGGCGAGATACCCGTGAAATCGGTTACTCGACGTAATCCGGCGACGACATATTTATACCCCGAGAGATGAGAGAGTCCGCATTCTCGTTTATTCGATCAATCTCTCCGTCTTTCCGCTCGAGTTTGATCACGCTTAACGAACGTACTTGAGAACCTGTACGGATACTTGTACAGATTTTCATGCGATCGTAGTCGAGTCTAACTACAAACGGTTAGAATAAAAGCTGCATTGGAGAATATAATTTGATTAAAAGAGCGAAGTATTTGAGGAGAGATAACGGTCAGCGCTTTTATTCATTAATATTTTGTCGTTTCTTTTGTATTCCCTTTGATTAAGACGACCGTTATATTATTCCATGAGAGGTATTCTCGGATATAAAGAGAGAGGAGGCATTGAATAAAACATTACATTAAATCACGAACATCAGAGAGATCGGGTAAATTATCGGAGCGTGTTCACGCGATTGAGATTCGTCGGTAATCGTACGATAAATCAGCGACCACCCAGCGTACACAGACGTCTCCTGTTATGCTCGAGGGTAATAATTCGAAACAATGTCCTTCTAATTGGCGGCTGAGTATTGACGTGCCGCCGATAATTAATATTCCTAACGAAATGAATGGCGAGGGAGAGGGGGGGGGGAGAGGCAGGGAAGGGAGAATGGGGGATGGAGAAGCCGCTGGAATCGTCTAATTGTTGCTGCGCCATGTAAAATGAATACTTGCGAGCCTGGAGAACTGGATGTGGATAAGGTAAATATCCTCCCGGCGTCCTGCTATCATTATTGCTGGCCAGTACTGTTATTATCTTCACGATAACATGTAATGAATGAGAGAAAACGACCGTGCCATTATCGATAATTTCCTCTCTCTCTCTCTCTATCTCTCAGCTGCATCGTGTATCTTTAATGTCCTTGCTTAGGCGGTTTTCTAATATCGCTGTGAACTATATCCGCTCTCTCGGAGAGTCGACCGCCTTTTTCGAAAATAAGATTATCTCTACTATGACATTATGTCTTTGCAATATTCCCGTTGGGAGAATATATGTATATGTATTTCTTTTACTTTTATTAATTTAATTAATCTAAAAAATTGTAAAATAAAGATTTTAAATAATTACATTTAATTAATAAAAATACAAGAAACACACACATATATATACATGTATTATATATATATAAGAAAAAAGACATATATGTATATAAGAAAATAGATTTTAAAATTAAATCTGCAATTAAAAGAAATTTTGAAATTCTCTCTCTCCTGAGATGAAGTTTATATAAAAGAGATCTCTGAAAAGAAGAAAAAGAGAAAGATGAAAGGGTTGCGAAGATAACGGGACTCAGTTTTTTCTCACGCACTCCCTTGATTTGAAATCTCCTTACGTCTGCCGTATAACGGGTATCTCTCGGAAAATAGAGGAAACTGCATGTAGAGGAGAAATCGACCAAGGGAACTTCGCGGCGTTCCAATGGAGTGAAACTCGAACTCGACGGAGGTGGCTCGATCTTTGTCGGTTGAAATCGTTCATTTCCCAGGGCGATCCGAGACGATTCGGCCCCCGTATCTAGTTACGCGGTCTTCAACAAGTTGGAACAATTCTCTCTCCCTCCCCCTTCTTCTCCGCTCTGCTCCACTTTCCGAAATGAATATTTCCACTCACGGAGAAAGATCGTGTTTTCTATCGCGAGCGCGATAAGAACATTGCGTATTTTTTATTTGACGTCTAATCGTGATTAAATTTTTATCGACATTAAATAGAAATTTATTAATTTTAATTTCTAATAAAAGTTTCTGTAATCATGTACCTTAACATTTTTACATCGCCCTCAAATTTTAACTATGACTATATAAACAAGGTTGAGATACACATATATCTCTTTTATTTCTTTATTGTTTTAAAACGAATTTAATTACTATATAATTCATGAAAATTTTTTTCTCTTTCCTCGAAAACGTTCATTCTATAGATATTTCTAATCTGTAACAAGTATATACCTTTTCATATAAAATATATGCTTTGATCGGAACGTGAAAGTAAAACAAGGTGTTAGTCATAGTGATGAAATGACCAAGCATATAAATCGATTCGATCCCGTATAGGAATTAACATTCGACACAAGCTCAGACATTTTAACAACCGGAAATCGCAGTCATGTTCTCATCCTGCTTCCTCGATCTTTCTTCTCCGCTTTCTCCCTCTCACTTTCGCATGGACGTCGTTCATATCCGCTCATCTCTTTCTCTCCTTCTATCTTCTCGTTGCGATACGAAAAGTTGCGTAGCAGAGCAGCGAATCTCCAGCGCGTTTGTGCGGTTCGTCATTATAGACGGTGACTCAGAGAACGAAACCAGTTTTCGTCGCGTCGTGCATCTTCTTTTTCTGCGCCACGCGGTATATATGTATATGTGTGTGTATGTAACGTTACGTTTTAATATTCCAAAATCAGAAATCCTGAGGTATGAAAAATTCGTACGTGAAAT